TGGAAAGAAATTGCTAAATTTTATGTTTTTTGGGTCAAAAATGGGAAAAACCTATTTTTACCCCATAAAACCCCCCCCCCGTAAACCCCCGTTCCCATGGTCCGATCATGCTGGATCGCGAACTCGTTCGAAAAAAACGTACGTTTGCACGTTTGTACCAAATTTCATCAAAATCGGATAATTTTTGCTCGAGTTATCGTGCTGACGTACACATATATATATACAGTATATATATATATATATATATGTATATATGAATTTGAACGGATGGTGTTTTTGGCCTCTAGGGACCTCAAAACGAAAAAAAACCGGTCCCGCGTCCAGGTCTTACCATGAGTACTACGGTAATAGCTTATTCCCTATATGGGGAATTCGCTAAAAAGACATTTTTCTAAGAACATATATACAGTAGAACCCCTCATATCCGGCCACCACGGGACCAAGCCCCTGGCCGGATAACGATTTGGCCGGATAAACCAACCTACTATCAATCAATCAATCAATCAATCAATAAAATCTTTATTCAATATTAGTACTCTGTACATAGAATGGTGTCAATATTAATGAATACTAAGATACATTATAACTAAGATTGGTTAATACTAAGGCTGTCAAAACAAAAGATATAGTTATATGCATGAAAAGAAAAACAGAACTAAAAACTTTCTTTACACATCATTTTTACATGGGAATTCGGAGAAAGAATATAATGTTAAATCAATAAGATATTTTTTTAGTTGATTTTTGAATTTATTAATATTTTTCTCAGATTTAATGGTTTTTGGTAACATATTATAAAATTTTGACCCCATATACATTGGCTTTTTCTCATAAAATCCAAGTTTATGTTTGTCAATGCCAATTCTATTCCTGAATCTTGTATTATAATTATGAGTATCTCCAACAAAATGAAGTTGGTCCTGACGGTTTTTCACAGAAATTATAGTTTCATAAATGTACATTGCATATACAGTCATGATACCAATTTTAGAAAAAAAGAGTTTTACCGATTCATTATAATTTAATCTTAATATAATCTGAATTGATTGTTCCTGAATTTTTGGTATTTTGTTCAAATTTTGAATGGAAGTTGCCCCATATAATGAGAGAACAAAGGCGATATTTGAATGAATATAGGCGAAATACACTATTTTCAGAGTCTCTGTTGAACAAATTTTTGAGAGCCTCCTTAGTGCATATACCCCAGAGTTTAATTTAGAAACTAGATTATTGACATGGCTGTTCCAAGATAAGTTGCTGTCTATAGTTAATCCTAAAAATTTAGATTCATACACCTTCTCTAATTCAGTTTCATTTAGAATGATAGTAGGTGACAGCATATTTTTATTATTTTGATAAGTTTTGAATTCAATGAAATTTGTTTTAGCAGAGTTTAGTACTAAACTATTATTTTGGAAAAACTGATTTAAAAGAGCCAGGTTTGAAAATGATGACAACTCAACCTCCTCAATAGAGTGCCCATTTATTTGAAGATTGGCGTCATCAGCATAAAGACATAAGCTATAATTATTATGTAATTTTGGCATGTCTTTTATGTAGCATGTGAATAACAAAGGTCCCAATATGGACCCTTGAGGAACACCTCTTATTACCTGTTTAAGAGTGGATTTGTATTTGAGCAATCTATTGTTATTTAAATTTAAAATTTCTACAAACTGTTGTCGGTTACATAAATATGTACTAAACCAATTATATTCTTTCCCTTCAATCCCAAACAATTTCAATTTATGTAATAAAGTCCCATGATTAATGCTATCAAAGGCTTTACTCAAGTCCATAAATATGCCTACAACTTTCTTGCCTTTATCAACTGAGTCGATCACAGATTCAATAAACTCTGTTGCTGCAGTTACCACTGACCTTCCTTTACGATAACTAGGCTGGCAACAATCAAACAACTTGTTAGTTTCAAGGTACTCAATCAGCTGGTTCGCAACAACTCTTTCAAAAATTTTTGAAAATATAGTGATTAGAGCAATTGGTCTAAAATTATCAACTTCTGATGACTTCCCTTTTTTAAAAATTGGTTTAATTTTTGTTATTTTCAATATTTGTGGAAAAATTCCAGTTATCAATGATGAATTGATCAAAAATGTAATGGGTTTAATCAATACTTCTTTTGCTTTTTTAATTATTGGTCCAGGAACTTCATCATACCCTGTGCTAAAACTCTTTTTGAGATTGCTTATTATTTTATCGGTTTCTTTTTCATTTATTTCCCTAAACTTAAATTTTTTAGCTGTATATTTTTTATCATTTTTGTTTTCATTGGTGTGAAGTTTATTTTGTGATTGACTTACAAAAAAGTTATTAAAAAGTTCACAAATTTGTTGAGGATTGCTTACTATTGAACCTTGGTGGTTAAGCTCTATGTTGTGTGTTACAACTTTAGAATTGTTACCCACCTCTGAATTTATGATCTTCCATGATGTTTTAATTATATTTGTAGATTTTTTTATTTTATTCTCATAAAAGGATTTTTTATGACTACTCAATGTAGTTTTGTATGATTTAAACTTACTTTTGGTTGTTATTCTCTTTTGGTCCGAAGTTGAATTTCTGTAGCTCTTAGTTTCCATCAGTAAGTTTTTATATTCGTTTTTTAGCTCACTTGTGAACCAGGGTTTTTGATCAAGATGCTCTCTAACACTTGCAACCGGAAAATTATTATTAAAATGAAACATAAAGATGTCATAAAAGGTACTAAACTTTGATTCATTTGGAGTATAGTACAGTTCAAACCAATTCTCACACTTTAAATCCTGGATAAATTGTTTAATGTTATCATCAGTAAACTTTCTTTTTTCATAAATACTATTCTAGGTTGTTTTTTATACATTTTACTCTTATCTATTATTTTTATCAATTGTGCATCATGGTCTGACAGCATTGTGTTATATCCTTCAACTTGAACCTCTGACCGACTCAAGTTTGTGAATACATTATCGATAGCTGATTTTGAATAAGCTGTAATTCTAGTAGGAAAATCTATTAAATGTATCATTTTGAACTGTCCTAACAAATTATAAAGTTTTCTTGATTCAACAGAAATTGTTTCAGCCATGGTATTTATGTTTACATCACCTACTACCAATATGTTTCTGTACATTGAGTGAACTATATCTAAAAAATTTCTTAATTTTTCCAAGAACAAAGACAAATTAGCTGCTATTGGAGATCTGTAAATACCTGCTATTAGTATTTTATCTTTATTAAGTTTTAATTCTACAAGAGATAGCTCAAAAGTTTGTTCTATTAATAGTTCTTGTACTGAAGGTAAGCTTAATTCTTTTATGTTAAATCCATTTTTTGAAAGAATAACAACCCCACCACCAAATTTATTCTTCCTGCAAAAAAATGACTTTACTTGATAATTAAGAATATTTAACCGTTTTAATTCCTGTTCAGCCATTTTATGTTCAGTGATCACCACCACTTCGGCTGGAATCTCTTCAAGTGTAATTTCTAGTGCTTCAATTTTACAAGGCAGTGAATTAATATTTTTATGGAAAATTCTTATTATTTTATTTTTGTCCTGATCATTGGTTATGTTTGGCATGGTATTTACTGATCTCCCCTTTACATTGCCGTTCTGTTTGCCCGAGGATCTAAAAAACTGACATGATTTCTCAACAAGTTACCATTGTTATTTACACAGTTATCTACATTATTTACATTACTTATATTACTTATGTTTAACGCTCCACTTTCCCTAACCACACACATACTCTGCTTTAGCGCCTCACTAAATGTGAGGTCGCCTGGCACTAGCACAACACTTCCATTTTCGATTGAGGATGTATCTGGTGTTGAGAGGACATCTACTTGTGGTATAATTGGCTGGTTAACAGACGCCTCCGTTTGGACAGTGGTCTGAGTTTCAATGCAGTTAACTGATGCTGGCAGTTTGAACGGGGGTGACTCATCTGGTTGTTCATTGAAGAGTCTTCTTAGTAGTTCTAAAAATTCTTTGTGTGATAACCCTTTTTGTAAAACTCTGAATGATTTTTGGAAATACGAAACCACAGTCACTTTATAAATATATTTTATAAATATATTTATAAATATTTTTATAAATATACGTTTATATTTATGACTTAATAGTTTATATATTGGAAAATCAACATCTTTTAAAATTTAGAAACCATACTCATGATCATAATACCGTTTAGTTAGCTATAAGTATTTTATTATTTAATTAACTGACTATGCTTTAATTTTAGCTGTTTCTTGACATTGTCGATAATTTGTACAAATTCAAAAGACAATAAAGCTTATTTAATTTAATTTCTTTTCATTTCATTTCATTCCATTTATGATCCTCATTTTGCATTATAATAGTGCTATGGATTTAGTATAAATTTTAGTATTGATTTGAAATTATTGTTTAGACTTAGACTAACTTAAGAACAAGCAATCTATCTAAATGATTACAACAAATGTATAAATTTAATAAAATATGATCTTTTTCAGAAGAGGCAATAGATTTGGAGAAGAAAAGGAACTTCAATTCATGTAGCAAAAAAGTTAATTACCTTAATCTGCAAAGTATGAAAGATACTTAAAACAACAGTTGAAAAGATAAACTTTTTACTACACTAAAAGTACAAATAAAAGTAAGTAATTTGCTAAAAACTTGAATTGTAATTAATGGCTGATGCAATATTATTTGAAAACAACATGAAACATAGAAATCACTCTTTCTTCTCAACTAATTTGATATGATTGATTATGAATGTAAAGAAAAATGCCTCAAGTAGGCTATGTTGTATTGTTTTAATAAACATAACAATATTTGAGCAAAAAGTTCATCAAATTGTATTGATATACATAACTTTTAAACGCCAAATCCTACAAAAATATACTCACAAAGCCTGTTCACTAATTCTAATTAGTTTCTAGATTGTCTGATAAGTTATGTCAGAAATTGAATGCAAAAAAATGTTTAAGGTCACTAAAAAGCCTCGCCTTAAGTGCCCGATATGTAGAAAAATGTTTTCAACTCTACCAACAATGAAGTGTCATATATATTTACACACAGATGAGCGTCCCTTTAGATGTTTGACATGTGAGAAAACATTTACTAATCTAATTCAAGTAAAGAATCATTTGTTGACTCATTCTGATAAGCGTCCTTATAAGTGCACTACATGTGGAAAATCATTCCAAACCAAAATAAATATGAAGAGACATACATTAGTACACACAGGAGAGAGGCCTCATAAGTGCACTATATGTGGAAAATCATTCCAAACCAGTGGCAGTATGAAGATGCATACATTAGTACACACCGGAGAGAGACCTCATAAGTGCACTACATGTGGGAAATCATTCCAAACCAAAAAGAATATCAAGATTCATACATTAGTACACACCGGAGAGAGACCTCATAAGTGTACTACATGTGGAAAATCATTCCAAACCAGGAGCAGTATGAAGATTCATACATTAGTACACACCGGAGAGCGACCTCATAATTGTACTACATGTGGGAAATCATTCCAAACCAGGAGCAGTATGAAGATTCATACATTAGTACACACCGGAGAGAGACCTCATAAGTGTACTACATGTGGAAAATCCTTCCAAACCAGGAGCAGTATGAAGATTCATACATTAGTACACACTGGAGAGAGACCTCATAAGTGTACTACATGTGGAAAATCATTCCAAACTAAAAAAGATATGAAGAGACATACATTAGTACACACTGGAGAGAGACCACATAAGTGTGCTACATGTGGAAAATCATTCCAAGACAAAAAGGATATGAAGATTCATACATTAGTACACACCGGAGAGAGACCTCATGGATGCACTACATGTGGAAAATCCTTCCAAACCAAGAGCAATATGAAGATTCATACATTAGTACACACCGGAGAGAGACCTCATAAGTGTACTATATGTGGGAAATCCTTTACAACCAGTGGCGATATGAAGAAACATACATTAGTACACACCGGAGAGAGACCTCATAGATGCACTACATGTGGAAAATCCTTTACAACCAGTGGCAGTATGAAGAGACATTCATTAGTACACACTGGAGAGAGACCACAAAGAGCTCTACATGTGGAAAATCCTTCACAACCAACAGGAAAATGAAGTAACATACATTAGTACACACCGGAGAGTGGCCGCTTAAGCACTACATGTGGAAAATCCTTCACAACACAACCAGTAGCCAGATGAAGAAACATACATTAGTACACACCGGAGAGTGGCCGCTTAAGCACTACATGTAGAAAATCCTTCACAACACAACCAGTAACCAAATGAAGAAACATACATTAGTACACACTGGAGAGACACCACAAATGTTTATTTAACATTTAACAACTGTTAATTTCATGTTGTTTTACAATGCTTAGTTGTATCTTTGACTATCAATACAACTTCAGTACCGGTTTTACGGTAACCAATAGTCAATGGTTGTATCAAAGGTTGTATCTAAGACTGTTTATTTCTTTAGATAAATTTTTATTCTTATATATATATATGACAACTGAGAACTTTGATGTAATGCAGAGGGTCGAGGTTCTTTCCAGAGCTATTATGTTATTATTGTGCATTGCCTTAATCCAGAAAACCCGTATGTAGTGTGGATTTATCAATTTTACTGTAATATATTTTATTGATAACATGAGGTGGATTTATGTATTGAGTCCACATAAAATCTTGAATTAGGATAAACCTACAATATAAATTACATATCTCCCATAATTTTTAAATGTTTGTTAATTTTTATACAAGTAGTAAAAATAAAAAGGTATGAACAGCTTTAGTGTGTGATTTTATTTAGGTACTGTACCTAACTGTAATCTACTGTACCTCCCTAGTGATAATCCCTCTTCCACTTCACCTAGTTTTATCGAATTTCCCTATATTTTATTCCCTTTTACCCTAGGTGAAACGGTAAGACCTCGACCCGGGACCGATATCCTTTTAGTGAATTTCCCTATAGGGAAGAAGCTATTACTGTAGGTGGCACAGTAAGACCTAGGCCTCGGACCAAATTAATTTTTCATTTTTATGCCTCCAGAGGACAAAATACTATTTGTTCAAATTTTTATAATTGTAAAAAATTATTGCACGTTAAAACCTGTGTATTTAAAGTTATTTTGAACCATTTTAGATTGTTTTTGATATTAAATAAATACTAACACATTTACCTCTTTTCAAGCTATGATTAATGGTGAAAATAGTCAAGTTTCCTGGTTTGGAGATATATTAGTTTAGTCTTAGGTTTAGCCCTATGGTATTTGAGACCCAAGTAGCAAAAATCGTTGGCCCAACGTTTCTGTCGATCGTTGGCCAACGGTATGTTTTGTTTTGGCACTCAGTCTTACGGTTGGCCAACCAACGAATTTTTGCGAAAGGGCCAACCATCCCATTGGGCCTAAAAATAAACTTTAGGCAAATGACAAAGTAATAAAGATTTAACACACAAAATAACAAAGATTTAGTATGAAAATCATAATTATCAGTTGAGTAAACTGATTAAATAGTTCATAAAAACTAATTTTGAATAAAAACTAGATAAAATTATTTGGCCGGGGCGGGTCTCGAACCCGGTAACTTCGCCTTGTGAGCCCCACCATAGACAAAAAGAATTTCTTTTTGTCTATGGCCTCACGTACCTCTGAGCTAAATGTGCTTGTTGATTTTGAGTGTTTTCAAGTGGCCTAAGAGTAGCCGACAGGTGCAATGGTCACAATACTGTACTTAAAATATTTTTGATGCTACAGTATAATATGATTCTATTCTGTTAATATGTTTAGGCCTCAAGTAGTTGAATTGTTTTTCTGGTAGTTGGAGAGGATACTAGTATTTGAATATAGAATATTTAATTACCATTAGAATAGGAGGCTACTGATATAATTGATTGTTATATAATTAATTAATCTTTCCCCTATAACTATTAAAAAATTGCTCACATAAGTTAAAGAATATTGTTAAAAAAAAATTGAATTATTATATGTTAAGCAGGTGTTCCCCACTGTATCTAGTATCACAACATCATCTGACTATATTTATTATAGATCCATTTTTTTACAATATTTGTCTTATATTCTGTTGCCATAACATTTATGTACTTTTAAATAAATCAATTCGTTAAAATGCGTTTTAGAATGGTTTATACTTAAACCCAACGAAGGCCCAACGATTCTTTCCTTTGTATGGCCAACGAATACCAGTTTCCGTTGGGCCAACTTGACAAATCGTTAAAATTTCTGCCAACCATTTCCCAACCGTGCCGACCGGCGACCATATCCCAACGTTGGGCCAACGATGTGTGCTACTTAGGGAACGACCATCGGTTAAGATCTTGTTTAAATGGGTTGCTCGTAAAAAAAATAAATAAATAAACTTATACTGCAATTATAATGTTGACATATTTATGTATACTATCAACCATATCAACAAAACAACAGGATGACGCCATCTTGATCTTGCATCTATTTGACAAGTCCCACAAACCAATCACACGGGCAACCTAACAACACGGAACTCTGAAACAAAACCAGCAAAAACAGTGGTACGTTTTTACTTTCTTCCCCTAACTGTACAACTCCCATTTCCGTAAAAATTACGGTTCAAAAGTTATTGTAACTTATGTTAATTTTCCCATAAAAACCAATACAAAAAATCGGATTTTTGGAGAATAAGCTGGTTTTGATAAAAAATAATATGTTATGTTATAATTCTAAAAAAGTAGCACAACATTACTGTAACAATTACGGTTCAAAAGTTATTCAAACTTTTGTGTTTTTTACTATAAAATATCATTTTTACTCTCACCGCTTACCCATGATAAAGGTTGTTGAGAAGCTTATGGGAGAAAGTATGTGTCAGAATGCTGATAGGTACCGTTTATTTAAACACAGAAGAGTGGTTACTCCAGTGGGCTGGATCACGGCCACCTTTAACTACAGGCCGCGGCCTGGTAGAATTGGCGACGTCGCAAGTGGTGTTGTTTAATGTTTGGTTTACAATTAACAGACGTCCCATAAGACAATATGGCAGACAGGTGACATCAGCTCATTAATTCGCACTTTATTGATTTAAATTTATGTACATAAATTCATTAAAATATTGAAAATAAAACATAAGTTACAGAATTGAAAACCGAAACAATATGAAACATCTGTATCTGTACATTTTAAGCGGGTCTGACTTAGGGGAGGTACGAATGAGGCATTAGTTCAAAATTCCTCCGTTAACAGCGCTGTAGTAGAGAGCACTTTGGCAATGAAGGTTTACTAATCGCAAAAATAGTTATGTTCATAAAATAAAATTATAAATGCCTCAAGTTCAATTTTAAATTTTTTTATCATAAAATAAATTATCATAACCTAACCGAACTAACCAAACTTGCTGATAATAAAATAATATAACAAAAGTTTAGTAATATAAAAAAATAATTCTGTTTATTAAATTAAACTAGAAATTGCTCAATTAAAATTTTATAATGACTTAATAATAAAATTAAACTGTCATAACCGAACCAAACCAACCAAACTTGCTGATTATGAAAAAAATCTTTGACAAAAAGTTATGTTACCATTGGGTCTCGAACTCGGGATCTTCAGCATATCGGCCCGGCACGCTGACCACTAAACCACGGAGACCGGTCATAAAATGTATTGTTACGGTAATGGCGTTCCTTCGGCTAATAAGAAGTCCACAGCTGTCATCGTAGGCTCTTCTATACTTCCCCTGAGTAAATACTATTTTAAGCGGAGTCAGTATTGTCATAGTCCAGTAACAAATCGTTTTTTATTTTATTTTATAACAATTTTATTAACCGATCAGCATTGCATTGCTATACAGGTTAGGTATAGTATAAGAAAGAAAAAATAACATTATTAATTATATTAACATAGGTAGAGGTCAGCTATGGCTAGCCCATCCTCAGGCACTTACTGTCACTGTTTTAGCGGGTCGGACTGTGAAGGTGCTGTCCACCAATGAAACACAAATGAAAAAAATGGTTATAATAAAACATCTTGAGGCTATCTGGGTTTTAGTCGGAGTCTCTGGATTTCTGAAGTTGGCCTGTGTTATAAAATCTGGCTGCATTTGGAGGATCTAACGGTTTTCGGAGGGTAAAAATCTTCGCTTCACTCTTCATCGGATTTATGGCTATTCTCCATTTTGTGAACCATTCCATCAAATCGTTTAAGGAAACTTGAATGTTATTGGCCACAACTTCGATGTCATGGTGTGTAGTATAGAGTAGGGTGTCATCAGCAAACACGGCTTTTTGGACATGGTTTGACAATGGCAAATCAGAAGTGAAAATGTTATATAATAGAGGTGAAAGAATTGCTTCCTGTGGGACTCCGGCTTGAATTGGTCTGGCAGTTGATAGGGAGCCATCAATATTAACTGAAAACGTTCTATCTTCAAGGAAGCTTTCAATAATTCTCTGTAGGTAGGAGGGGACTCCGAACTTTCTTAGTTTAAACAACAAACCATCGTGCCAAACACGGTCAAAGGCCTGACTTACGTTAAGAAAAACTGCAGCAGTATGACATTTTCTTTCAAATCCTATAATGATGTCTTCAGAAACTCTTAAAAGTTGATGTGTCGTGGAATGGTGGGAGCGAAACCCAAACTGATGAGGAGGTATTAGGGAAGCACTATCTACGTAGGAGTCTAGGCGTTGTTTAATGATTGTTTCAAACAATTTAGACAACGTGGGGAGGAGGCTAATCGGGCGATAACTATTTACTTGCGATGCAGGTTTTCCAGGCTTATGGATGACAATTATGAGAGAATGTTTCCACATTCGCAGGAAGTAGAAGTATGATTTTGTGAGACAGGCGTTGAGCAGAGAAGCAAGGAAAGCAAGTCCTTTTCGTGGTAGATCATGTAAAATAATGTTAGGTATTCCGTCGTGTCCAGGAGTTTTCTTGATTCTTAGCGACTTAATGAAGTTAGAGATTTCAGATCGAGAAGTATATTTAATAGGCCGTTCCATCGTGATAAGTGGGCAGGAATTAACTGTGGCAACATGAGCTGAAAATTCAGGGTCTTGAAATTCATCATTCGGACGACATGAACGCTGATAGTAATCGGCTAAAACATTAGCTTTGTCCGTTTTGCTTTCATATACCCGACCGTTGTTTATTAAACTGGGTATTGGGGTGCGTTCTTTCAATATTCGTTTAGTTGCGAGCCATAAAGAGTTGTTGTCATCAGAGGACAGATTTGATACACATTTGTTATAAGATTCGTATCTGAATCGGTCTAATTCCCATTTGACTCGTCAATCTTTCGTAAATACAAAAATACCATTATAGCTGCTTCCAAACAAAACCGCTGTTACAACACCACTTGCGACGTTGCCACTTCGAAGGCCGCGTCTGGAGTTAAAGGCGGCCGTTGCTGGATCAACGATAAACGGCTGGATCAGTGGATTCGGATTGGAGTGGAGTAAAGGAGAATTGAACTATTCATTGTTATCGTTAGAATCTTGAGATATGTGTCTGAGTGTTTCCACATCGAGGGGAAATTCCCCTTTTGAGGGGGAATCAGGCTCGAAAGGGGAAGGACCTATAAAGGTTAAAACAGGGGGAAATATTAGAATTTAAAACATAGTATTTTTAGTTAATTGTTTTTAATTAGTTACATACGTTATAATGTTAAACAGGACACTTCTTCAAATTATTCATTCTCGGCAGACAACCTCAAACGTTTTGATTCAGT